TCAATTGGCCATCAATTTTGCTATCAATTTTGCTGTCAGCACCCAAGTGAGTGAATTCAATGCAGGAAGCTTAAGCTATTCATTGTTCTACTTCCTCCCTGGTTAAGACAAAATCTTTTTTTTTTTGCCAGTCGCGCAACCATAGTCCTACATGTATGAAGAGTCCAATATGCAATTTACCATTCGGTCCTCGTTTTAGTGGACGGTGACTTAATTGGTTTTGGTCCTTGTTTTCTGAACGGGGACACTGAATTGTTTGGGTTCTCGTTTTCTAAATCGTGTTTTCTTCAAATTTTTAAAGTGGAGGGGGATTAGTTGGGGCAACGACATTAAGCGGGGACGTCGGGTGACACCCCCCCCCCCCAACACCACTGTTCCTTCGGATAGTGTTTTCTTTGTGCATTCAACAATGAAACATTTATATAAATCATGCTCCATTATTGACATTAATCTGATCTATAGGCCATTTCAGAACTTTGATTCAATCTGGTCTAACTGTGTTTGTTTAGTGACTCGCCGTTTCCGGTAACTGTAAGAGGGAATTCCTGCCAAATGAGGATTCCATCTAAAATTTTAATGACACTAACATATTTTCTTGCGTACCTACCGGTACCTGCTCATGGCTGGTACGCGCGTTAAAAGTTGCTAAACGATATTTTCTGTTCGACAGTTTTATGGTAAAGTTTGGCCCTTCATTGCTAATTTAAAAATCGTCCAACGAGTCCTGAGCACATGGTAAACTCATCAGCGTTGCTTCGGTTTTAGGTTGGGAATGAACCAGATGACCCAGGGATGAACTATAACGGACAAACTCATCCTCAGCAGTCTTGTTTACCGCTCGAAAGGTGATGAGCTTGATATCTCGGAATGTAGTGCGGGGGAAGAGAGAGCTTGTAAATCACTGGCAGGTTCACGACCGTGTGAGATACAAAATATAGGTTGTATAGTTCTCGCTCTTTTGATGTGATGAAGTGCATGTTGATGACGCTAGCTGTAGTCTTATTTAAATGAGATAAACTCGACGTCCCCGTTTCATCTATGTTTTTTCCCGTACAAGTTGCGAATTGGCTGTGTTGTACCGTCCGCAAACTGCCTGGTGGATTTTTGAAAGATCTATAGGATGGTAATGGGGATGAACTAGTGTATTGTATGGAAAAAGACCACTGACTGAATGAGGCCATATTCAAACAATGATCATCGGACACACGGACAATCGATGAGTGTTTGTTTGTCGTTTGTCACAAGGATCATGCAGGGCCTAATGCCACATGGCCGTTTAGGTCAGAAACTTACTAAACACCGAATTGTATTGCTTCGCCAAAATAGGTTTCTATACAGTCACAATTTCTCGCAATGAGTATCACTGCATGACCGGTTCTGAGTTAATTCACACTGGACACATACATGTTGCTAAGCCATATTTAGCGTAAAACTATTGGGCTTAGGCCTATAAAATAAAATAACAGTGACTTCATACGTATACGGCCGGTAATATAACTGCGAGTTAGCCACGCCCCTGAGACAACCCCCCATGAAATTTTGTATACGTTTTGTTGTCTCAGATTTTGCGCGTTCCACGTCCATTTCGTCACCGTTTTCACGAAGAGCCACATATCTCCAAAATTACAATTTTTTTCGATTTTGATTTTTTTCGATATTTTGCATTAAAACAATGTACTTAACCATTTTGACATGTTTCTGTAAGCAAAACATCATTAATTTCTAAGTTACATTAATGTTGCAAGGGGCAGAAATCTCGATAACTGCATTTTGCGTTTTCACGAAGAGCCACATACATGTTGGCCCTTTGAACGCGTACAAAACCCATTGCACGGAAATACGTAAAAGTAGGTCAAATGAGATTTGCGTTTTCACGAAGAGCCACATATCTTTGTTACATTTTAAGGCGCGCGCGCGTACTCACGCGCGCCTATGGAAATACACGTTGAACAGAAAGGGCCAATATGTCGGAAACGTGAATTTGCGTTTTCACAAAGAGCCACATATCTTTACTAATTAATTTCCACTAATTAACTGCTTTATTAAGTCTTATTACCGGGTTAATGTAAAACTTCAGCTCACGTAGAATCGTGTGATGGTTTTCTTGCTGCACAAAGTTGTTGCAAAGTAGTATTTCTTGCAGTTTTAAAATATGAGAAACTTCTTTTGTGATTATCTCGAAAACACTTTACTTCAAAATCAACATAATATATATAGTATGTGGCTGTTCGTGAAAACGGTGACGATTTGTCTATCGCGTGATTGGACAATATTTCACAAGTTGCGTTGACGCGATTCCACCGCGCGCGATAGGTTGATACACCGACAAGTCGCTGCGCGAGCACTACTGCGTGACATTCTCGCATGCACATGTGCATTGCACACTCGTTGTGCTTGATGAGCGCGTGTTTTGCGCAGCGTTCGTTCGCGTTGCGCGCACAAGATGACATTTTAGTTTGGAGGGTACTGTACCGGTGCACGTTGTGCAGCACACGTTGTTCTCAGCTAAAAGGGGTGTGAGTTACGTAGTCTCCAAGGGACGATTTCGTTAATTCCTTGGAAATATCCAATTACTTTGGGGCGTTTATTTCATTAATCAGATCGTCCTTGCCCGAGCTGTCAGGGTATGCTCTGAATGAATTATCTGCGTCAAGTTTCGGAAGTTTTGTCTTAACGCCTTCAGTATTATCTGCTCGGGGACTTGTTTTGTTGTTCTAGCACTCCTGGCAGGCCGCAAAAACCAAGGCAGTAAGTAGTTGTCATATCTGCTTTGCTGTTTTGCGATTATAGTTCAACTGACATCTCGAAAGTGATAAATATTTTGGACCTGAGCCTTGGAGAGCCGCTGAGGTAAAAACATGCATGACACAGTTTTGAAGGTAAAATGACAACACGCAGGGAGAGAGACCTTGAAATAGCTTACTGTTTACGGTTTCCGGCAAAGCACTCGTATGATAGTATGAATTTCCTTCACCCGCCCCAAATTCCTATTCTGCAAAGTATTTGATTGCATGGTCATGATTTATTAGTTTTAGTAGAAATAAAAAAATTGAAGGAGTAAAACTTAAGTCGGAAGAGAGTTGTTAAGGTTTCCATTACCATATTTTTGGGCTGGTTCCATAGGGCCATCCTCTGTACCTATCTCATTGGCGGACTGACTGACTGACTGATTGTCACTTGTGAACCGTGCAGTGTTATCGTATAGGAATACCCTGTAGCGCCAATGAATGGGGTAAATCCGGCCCAGGCCCATTGTGTAGACCAGATGCATGGACAGATTTCCAGTGAATTGCCATTCTCAATCAATTGAATAGAAATGTGTGCAGTTCTTGACCAGCGTTACTGAAGGGTTTGCCTTGTCTTGTTCGGATCAAACATCCAGCTCATTTTGTGCCTCTCGTCAACAAAATTTGCAGAAATAGAATGCGGCCGATAATTCCTAATCCCGCCAACCAACTCGCCACACTGTGGAAAGATCTTTCCATGCGATATCTCAGAATATCTTATTAAAATGTTCATTTTTGGGGGCAAACAACAAGCTGGGTGGTATGCGTGAACTGCCCTTGTTATCCCAGTTCCGCTTTTTATCTCGAACATGGTATTTGAAGTATTCGGAACAACTTTTTTGAGGCCAACAAAAGTTCACAAAAGGGAGAACACGATGATTTACCTTTTTCAAGGGTGAAGTTCTATCTATGCATTTCTTTGGACGATTCAAGTTTGCAAATAGCCTTCTGTACAGATATAGATGGTAATGGCTACAGAAAGTCGGATTTAACTTGGCAAGATCGTCATAATATCGATTCCGATGTTAATTCTGGCATCAATTTCGGAACGTCTGCTGCAAAGTTTTTTTCCTGGCCTGTCCCGGCCCGAAGGGGGAAACATTTTTTGAGATACTTTTGGTCTGACATCGACTGGTCTGCTTCTGCCTCCGACATTGCTTGCCTTGTGTGATGATGGTAGAGTCATGCAGTGGTAGAGTTCTGAACGGGGATGGCTGTCAGACGTTCAAATTGATGTGTTGAAATCAATACAAAGAAATTAATATGATACCTCCTATTGTTTGATCAGTCACAGACAGTCAAATATCGCCTTCCACTTTCCCTGCCTTGCATTTGTAATACAGTCAGATCACATTCGTGTAAAAACTGTCGGAGAAGTCGAAGTCCATCAAAAGACAAAAGAGGCACCGTACCTAACAGGTACAGCTGGCATATCAATCACCTTCAGTCGAAGCGTGGCCATATCAAATTAACAAGGGAATTCTTAACTTATAAGACAGTCACTGACTGCTGTGATGGCGTAGCTAAATTTGTCAGCCATCATCAGAGAGGCCTCAAACGATGAACCGAGATTTGCAATATTGTATTTTGACGTTATGTCAGCATTTTCTTGGTAGGAAATTTCCACATCATTATGTAAATAGTTAAGTCTGTTCAGATGAAGGGGGAGGGGTTGAGGGAGGGGTGGTGAGCCGCCCTTGAATGAGGGAGGGGTAGGACTTGGAACACGACAAACATCGTAACTATGTGTTGAGATTCCTCCCCGGTTATTGCGTAATCTTAATAAAAAGTAAAATTTTATGTCACCGAAGAATCTAATACCCGGCCGAGTTGCACGTGAGAACCACTTCTGAAAAACATTATCACTTCCCTGCCAATCAAAAATTGTAACCAGGTACCCAAACATTCCGGGCATGCTTCACACTCAACAGAACACCGGGTCAAGATGCATGCTGACAGCTAGCTGGTCGCAACGTGCGCGTACGAACACGCCCCCTTCCTGATTAACGAACAGATATGCGATAAACAAACCCACACACCGTTTCCTATTGGACAACGACCTCTTTCATCGCTAGTCATAAACAGATCCTCGTTCCTGATTAGCTGAGCGTGGCGAGCCCCCATCACTGGAGCCGCTCGCCGATTGGTCGAGCTAGGAATCCGTGATGCCTACGTCACCGTGAACTTTGCCGATATAAACAAATTGCAGGGCGGTTTACGAGTAGAAAACAACGTGCTCGCTGACACAATCAACATTCGCGTAAAACAAAAAGACTGTCTTCGATTTTGAGATAAATTTCGTCAATAAAGGCTACTCTTTCGAGATTTTGAGCTGTTATTCTTCAAGAGCGTAAAGTCAAAATGAGAAGACCGTCCAGCCTGCTTGTATTGCTTCTGATGTGCGCCGCTGTTCTCAGAACTTGCGTGGCTGTCAGATTCTTAACATTAGAAGGTAAGAAAACTAAGCTGAAGTTTCTTTTAATGCCCCGTAGCCTATACATGTTGTATCTGTGAATATTACTATCAAACGCTTTACATGTTATTGTAAATTTGGTTTTAGAAGGTTGGAATTCTATAGTAACAGGAGTAAAAAGGGCTGCCTTGTTAAATTCTTTGAATTCTTTATTAAAATGGCAAATTAATGTAACAGTTGTAGGTTGTAGGCCTATATTTGTTTCGTTAGGAAATGCACTCATTGTATTTGAAAGAACTGAACACGATCTGTTTGGATCATCTCATACGTCATTCTATCCTGATTTACATGCAAATTACAAGCGTCCAAGTACCTATAGTTTACCACAAAAGAACCGAGGGTAAAGATATATAAGTCACAAAATATGAAATGCGTAATAAACACTTATACTATAATAATGTTTCCCATTCAACAAATCCACTGTACTGTACCTGTACCTGGCCCTGGCCCAATAAATCACCTCGTGACACGTGTAATCGCGCCCTTACTCACCGTGATGATCACATGTTCATTTGCTTTTTGATAACTGGTGTTTCTGAAATAGCTTCCCCAGATAAGAAAATCCGTGTTGTTTTACGTGAGGTTGCATCAGCATGATGCATATCCTGCTCCAGAAATATTTGACCCGATTACCTTGTTCATTGTTGAAAAATGATACCTGTTTATCAGGACTAGGAAATAAAGCAAGCTCATTTTGCAGGAGATAACAGTTTTGGCGTTTTTACAGTACGCTTTTCAAAACTTGTTTACGGATGGAGCACAAAGATGTTCCTTATCATTAATTAAAAAGACGAGACATTGGTTTCTGAGTATTAATTGTGTATTGTAAAGACTCATTAAACTTCGTATCACACAACAAAATAAACTGTGTGAAGAACTGAAAGTAAAGTTAAGACAGTCATTGCATGCTTTATCATCCTATTCAACTAATGACCTTCACTGATTCGAGGAAATTTCAAACAGTAGAAATTATCTTTAAGATGATAAAACGTGCATCCTTCACAATCACACGTCTTTCTTGAGGGCAACACTGACTGCCCAACCACACAAAAGTTCTCGTTACCCCAGCTATCAGTCTCAACAGCGGAAGAGCCCGTAGTAACGTGCATGTTATGGTCCTTCAATGATATCTCGCATCCGATGGACCGCGTAAACATATCGCCTGATCAACATCATGTCATGGTTCGATCATGATCATAGAGCTCTACGGCTAGCTCGATCCAGAAAAGTTCTCATCTGAACCATTCTGACCGACTGAACAATCCAAGTTATCTAGCATCGTTGCATTATCATACCGTGTGATCGGCAATGTTTCCACCGACCTTGCAACTAACAATTCGAAACGGAATCTTTTTGCAAAAGTTCCTGTCCACTTATCAGAAAAGCGGAAGGAACGATGATTATCAGTTATCTTGCATTGTGGCCTAGGTGTGTATTACCATGGAGGCTACCTCCTCCTTCATGGTAAAACGAAAATGATCCCATTTGACTTGTGTGCGGTTTGGCTAGCGTTTCAACTTTCATTCTCGAATACAAAATGGAAACTGGGCAGAACGGATCACAATATCAACTTATATTTCATAGGGACTACCGAGGATGTACAATATAAATATTGTGTTATGAAAATAAACCAACAGTCAATTTACGAGAACGGACACACGATGAATTTCATGGTCCTCAAACAACAACACACCATTATTATCCGATGTAACTTTAGTGTTTTGTTCATCCCCTGGGTTTAGTTTATTTACAATCGGCATTCCAGCAATATTTCCGTGTTGTTATCGACTGTCCCGAACACCTGACTCACCATCTTAACTGTGTTTGTTGACACAGCGCGACCGTCATTGCTTGAAACCTGCAGGTGATGGGCAATTTGTCAAGTTAAATTACCGCCTTTTACGATATAAATAATAACAGTTGTAAAACTGTCAGTGCTGTGTGTGCACACAGCAATAAAACTAAAACAGTAGGAGATGACCTCTGAATGTTTGTTCTTTGAGCTCATGAGTGATCGCACTTTCAGCAATATATTTGGTATGCACAAGAAAAAAATGCACATTCAATAGCTCCATAGGTTTACTTGGTATTGTGCACGTGTGTATCAATTTACCATGGCCCCTAAAATAGAGCACAACGAATTTTGAATCACTTCTTTCAAAACTTCCTGTTTTCATTTTGAAATACTTTCCAAACTATACGCAGTGATTTTATTTACGAGTACACCGAAAGGCCTCGACCCCGTGTTGCACAGATTTACGATGTCGTAACAATTGACCAGCCTTGGCGATGAATTGTTCATGGTCACTTCCAACCCAAGTTCACAATAGAAATGACCAAAACAACCTTGCCATTGCAGCCACTCAGCTTCGCATATGTCCATGGGATTCTTGTGAAACAATTATGTGGTTCGCTGGATATTCTAGTCCCGACAAGAAATGGAATCCTCAACAATGTATACATTTCATTTGTCAGTGTATTGTTGGTTAACAGCGATGGTCATTTTCGTCTTTCAAGTTCCAACAATGAATTCTGTTCTTTCAGCTTCAGAAATGCATTAAAAATATCTTTCAAAACATGGTCCTACATTCTTAAAACCTTTTTGATTTCATGTAAAGAAGTAATCGCTCAGCTCTCTTAACGTACTTTTTGTACCTTTCTTTCTATAAACATTTTTTCAATGTCATAAAAATAGACAAATTTGACAGCTATCAAAGAGTGAACCACAAAAGCCCCGAAAAAAATCACTAATAAATTTTGACATGAGATGTGCGACGCCGGTACACAGCAAGAGTTATTTATTTTCCATCCACGGCAAACAAGAACAGCTGTAGAACAAATTGACGCAATACACGAAATACGAGAAAGACCATATTCCAGTGACCATGCAGTACCTATTAACCAAACTCACCTGTCACCCAAAACCCTGAGATCATGACAACAGAAACACGGGATTACAAGAAGAAGTAAACACATCTTGGACTTAGATCTGAGGAACAGCTGTTGGCAAGTCAGCTGATGGTGATGTCACGGTTATACGACTTTGACACCTCCGCGCACCTCCCGGAGATCCCCGGGGCATTCTTTCATTGCTTCCCCGCGGGGCACGCTCCTGACGTCCGCTAGTTCAACTTCCCCAGCACGTGTACCCACGGCAACATAACAAACCCTGGGAAATCAGTCCCCGTGCGCAAACTTAAATACTGCAACCATGCTGCAACCTCCATGCTGCAACCAAGTAGTTACCACAATACGCATGCGTGAAACAGATCACGTGATTGAAGTAATGGTCATTTACCATAAAACGCATGTGCGAAACATATCACGTGTTTAAAATACGATGTCGCGTCACAGTCCTATAATTTTCAATGAATTAAATTTCACTTTATTTCCCGAGTCATGGTTCTGGGGGATTTTCCAAAAGGAAGTTAATCCGAAAACCATGTGCATTATGGCCGGTGATTATACTTGGGTGCCAAAAAGAAAGAAAGAAGGGAAATGCACTTCGTGCCACGTTGCGAACGTTTTTCTTGCGCATGCATCCTCTGCTCTGAAGTGATGATTGAGTAAAAAGATCCGTGATCCTGACCTATACTGTGTTTCTGCAGCCCCTCCAGGCTCCGAACAGCCACTGGGGAGTTACCAAATGTCGCAGGGTCAAGTTCGAGGACCTAGCTCTTTCCCCCAGGCTAACGAGCCCCAACGATCAAGCACACGTCACACGGGGTAATCGATGCTAGTGAGCTTGGGTCTATTACGGGTGACTTACACGCTGGTTAGAACGCTTGCCGGAGATGAACTGGCTCCGAGATAGTGATTAACCCTCAAGCAATCTCCTCAGAATTGATGAGCGAGCAAGTTTGTACGTCAGCAGGGACATATGAATCTTGTTTTCCCAGAGCTTTCACAACAAAGGGAACGTGCATTAAAGTAATCGAAACTTCAGATATTGTTCAGGAAAGGTCACTTTTAATAACTGAAAACCCAACTAGAAGATATTTTGGTCCCTTGTGATATCGCAGGACAAAAGTAATTTTTTAAATTAGATTTTGTGATGGAAGGAAGATGGAGCATCCCAATGATTGCATCCTGAAAACACACTCATTTCAGATCATCAACGGACTATCCTTTAATATACTACAGGCAATCCAGATCTCCCGAGTCCAAGTTATTATTGTGCAAAATGTCCATCTCAATTTTGCCTTAATAATTCCAATCCCACGTAAACCTGAAATGGTGCATTATGGACACCTGGTCAATAGAGTCGAAACTATTTTGAACAATCACAATCAAAAGGAAATCAAAGGTTCACCAACTGTTTTGTTATCCCTGATTCTCAAGTTTGTTCAACTGGATATGTTGCCATTGCGATCCAGGCGAACTGGTCCCAACATCTGTGATGATATAATCCTCTTAAACATTCCTCCTTGGGCTTCATGCAAGCTTTCACTTTCAGCCCTGGGGGATGTTAGTCAACTATGTCAGGGCATGGAGCCTTAATGGTCAGAGAAACACATGTGATCGGTGAATTTAAAGCAAAGCTATCGCGAGTTGCCATCATATTCAAGTTTTCATCCATGATGATTCTGATATTCTTCGGTGCACTTTCATAAGTTTTTGAACTATACTTTACAAATTCTTGGAAGTTCGCGAATAAGCGACGTAACTCCAAAAGAGAGGGTGGTCCTGCAGTTAAGAGCTCAGAAGTGTTGTGCGGCGTTTTGTGAGAAAACCACCGTCCTCAGCTTCTCATAGTTGTATATAATTATTCTTCCAATGCAGTGCTTCAAAGCGCTGTTCAAACTGCTACCCATATCTTTCAAAAGGATCGACCAAACCTCTCTTAGATATAGGTGACTTGTAAACTTTCTCTGAAGACTTGCAATAATGTCCTCAGGATATTCATAGAGAAAGGAAACACAGACTTTCCTTTCAGTTTTGTACTTGACTAAATTCGGATGTCATTATGTTGGTGGGGATCATCCTTAAACACTTCCAGTTTTTGTGTGTTCAATTGGATGACGGCATAGCTGTTGCGATTACCAGCCCTTCATCAGCGAGTTACCTGGGCCCGGGGATCCGATGAGATCCCAAGTATGAGGTCATGCACCAGCATCCGCAAAAAAACAACTTGATTGAACCCAGGCCCCATAAATCGTCACCGGGACGATGTTATGACAGAACCATATGGCAGGGTCCAGGTCCCTGCCTTGTTGTTTTGGCAACATGCTTGGCCTCGATGGGTGCTTCTCAAGGTTAACTGTTTTCCCTCGACAGCTGTCTTGTGGGTTTCACTTTCAGTGGGTTTTCGCCGGGGGTTTCACCGATGATTACCAATGGTTTACCTGTCACTCTGATCGTGGACCTGAACTCCTCGATCCATCACGTGTCTTGGGCTAAATAAGATTTGGCAGGGCCTGCAGTCTGGGTTACTGCTATTTAGCCCTTCTGATGTCACTGCTTGACAGTTACCATCACCATGCTTTGGCATATGTCATCAGTGTCTCCGGTTCTTTGAGAGTCACTGGCTTAGCTCAGGGTTAAAGTTCACCTTGTGAAACTTTCCTTGCTCTATGGTTTCTGCTACCAATGCTATATTCTTTTGATCATAGTGTTATGTACCACATTCTAGCTTGCGCTGTGCTCTATAAGTCATCAGTGGCTGTACATTGTATCTGTTTTGGCATAGGACAAGGAACATTTGGGGAGTAGAAACATCTGCTGGTGCTATACTTCTTGATTGGTCATTCTTGCAACTATGCTTTAGCAATTCATCAGAGGGCATAGGGTCTGGAAAGTCCCCACTACTGTAGTGTCAAATGTTTCATTGTCAATGACACAATGTAAGGCGCATCCAAACTTGTTTACCTGGCTAAGGCAGGTAGCCGATACTACCCAGATGTTACCAAGTGATTCTCTTACATCTGACTAGGGAGGTTGGGTCACCACGATCCTCTGATGGTCTTGTGCAGCAGTACAAGAGGTATTAAACTTTATCAAAGGGCATGAAGGGATTGAAGGCATCTTGTTCACATTGTACGATTATTGTGGAGTAGATGAATCCTCATCGGTGGAAGGAAAAAGGGTGGGTGGGTAACTGTGTTTAAATGGGGGGAAGGATATGATGCTGGTTATCAACCTCACATCCGAAACAACTTCCAAAGGGCACAACTAGCCACCCTTCAAACATTATGTGGTCTCACTGAACCAAACCCTTCCCCTCCCACTGCTTCAGCACAAAACCGGAACTGATCCCTTTTGTTTAGTTACAAAATGTGCAACTACAAGGGGAAGGAGTTGCTGGTCTCATGCCTCAAGTGTTGAACTTGATTGGATTTCTTGTGAAAAAGGTGTTTTTTGTATACATGTTCAAAGCAAAGCCTTACCCTTTACTTAGCTGATAATGGCATTTCCAAACACCATACCTGTGCATTCTGTCAACAATTTCTGGCCTACGTGCCATGTGTCAGGCACTGTGTGCATCTGTCCTCATGCTAAACCACTTGAAGACTGTGTCCACATCAGAACAGGGTTGAAGGCTTGAAAGTTCACAAGACTATCTTGGGAAGTAATCATCTCAATCTACAGTTGAAAAGTCACATCCACAAGCTGGGAATAACGGGGCATATATCAAGTCTCACATGGAGGTGATGGGTTAACCAAAAGGCCAGTTGACGTAGCTCTATCCTGCTAACTCACGTTCACCGATGAACTGTCAAAGATGGTTTATTTGTCGTGCCAGATTGGGCTAGTGGTCATTTCATCATTACTGTCACATCACCATTATTGACGTATGGAGATTAACCTATAATGGGAAATTCTTGAGCATGACATGCTCAGATAAGTTTAGAAAACGAAATGTCATTGCAGAAATGCGTATTGAAAGATGCGCTTAGGCTTAGATGCAAATGTCAAAGATAATTGTAACCTATACTTTGAGAAGTGTTGCTGAGAAGTATAAAAGCAAGGACGTGCTTGGGTGGGGACACTACAAGCTACATTCAAGAAATCTTTCTAAGAATCCTTCCCAGACAATGAAAATGATTTAGAAACACTGAAAATCTTTAGAAACACTTAAAGACAGGCAGAAGACTAAATCATAGATGAAAAGGGTAGAGGACTTAGAGTTAAGGATGCAGTAAGGAGAGGGAAAAAGAGCGGCACTGAAGTCTGAAGTTACACTTCACATTGTCAAAAGAGGAGAATAGTGGAGTTGATCCCCTCTGCACAAAAGAAGGGAATTATTTAGGAGTGCCTCATGGATTTGAAAAGTTTATCCTGCTCACTTGATCTTTCCTTCATGTCTACTACTTGTACTCGTACCTGTTATTTACTCCTACTGCTGGTACACATGGCAAAAAAAACCAACAAACACTTGTATTCGTTATCGTGGAAATGTATTCAACTGCAAAACTGACCCACACTCATTTCCTTGCAGAGTTTCTGCGCAATCATGAGCAGCTCCAGAACCCCGACTCTGAAGAGGAGCATCAGACTGAAGAGATGGAGTTACAGGAAGACTTTCTCTCCATCTCAACTACTACCGCCACCACCACCCACCGGCCGTCCACTGCCCCACCCCAGAACCACAGGGGACACCATCACTTCGATCTAGAAGAGGAGGACGGCAGCGGGTCAGAATTTGGCGAGACCACGACACTTGCGGCGACGCCGTCAACCACAACGATGATGATGCAGGAGACCGAGGAGCCGACGACGACACGAAGGATGACAACCTGCTGTCGGCTTGGAGAAGAGGCAGGCCTGAAGAGACATCACTGTAACCCAGACAACTACCTGCCAAGACTCCTAAGGTGAGTTGAGAAGCAAGTTGTTAACTAGTGTATAAAACTTGGACAAGCAAAACTCTCTCCGCCATGTAACAGCCTTTCAATTATTCATAAGATGAATGATGCAAATTTATCAGTGAAGGGCAAAACCCAATATTAAACCTTTCAATTGCAATACAGGAATCATTTTAGATACCTGTGTCTGAATTGTTAATATTATTCACCTGTGGAACATATGGGCATGGTTCTTTCATCCTTAACACTCCCTTTTTACTTCATTTGCCCCCCCCCCCCAGGAACCAGAATCGGGGTCACAACTTCAAGCAAACCAACAAACAACCCAGCCAGCGGAGGTCCCAGTTTGACAAGTGCGTCTCAGGGGTCATCCGGAGGCTGTCTGATGAATTCAGGGTGTGCTGCGAGGAAGCCTACAAGAGGATGTTGCAGTCGGAGACTGGCGAAGAGATTCACCATGGCGACAGAACACATCTTTTAGAGATCCCAATCGACATATAGAAACACTTGAGCTCAGCAACCTCAAAAACCTACGTATTGCATAGCGTTGATTTTATCACCAGTTTATGTATGATCCACCGACAAACTTGTCGCAGACACTGACAGGGTTGTAGTCCATCACAAATCAAATCACAAGTCCATTCACAAGTCCAGCCACAAGGTACAGGAGATGAACAAGGAAATGCCATGGGCCTTATTCACGAGTTGGCCATTTTTGTATAGAGTTCCTGAATGCATTCATTACATTTAATTGTTAACTGTTTAATGGGATGGCGCCAGACCTTTTTTTGCAGGCACAATGCAGTCTTATTTTACTGTCATTTTTTTGAAATACGGCTTTAAACATTAGGGAATGCTTAATTACAAATGTTAAATTATTCATTGAAGCAGACTGGAATTTATTATACATTAATTTGTTTTCATTTCTCTTCGCAAGTTCAAAAAATGAAGATATTACCTAACTTTCAATTCAATATGGCCGACTCATGAATAAAGCCCATTGTCACGAGTCATTTTAATAACCTGCGACTTAATTTTTGGGACTGGATGGCTTTTGATTGACTTGTGATTGTCTTGTGATGGAATTGACTACAACTTTAGACACTGTCACAATACCTAGGTTTGCATTGTTAGAGTTAACTTTGCCAACTTAAATGGGAGTGCCATTTTCTACCGAAACACGCTCTTAAACTGCACCTAGGGTAAAACATTTATCGGCATGCCACGCTTAATATACTACTCTAAAGAAAAACACTCTATAAAATATCTACTTAACACTTATGGAATGTGTATGAAAATATCAACCGTATTACTAATCAAAGATTAAGGATAACGATCTTCAAAAGAATGTTTCAAATAAACACTGTCTTAAAAGTATTTGTTTATGTAAGCACACCAAAGTATATTTATATTAGAAGTATATTTTTTCTTTCATTTGAATATATATTTGATATATTGTACATAACGCAGTTGTTGACTTTGACTGCATTTTGTTTGTTGATTTTTGTGTGAATATGGACATGGAGATATGTGGAAAGAATACGTCATGTCCGGGGAGAGAAAAACCGTCATCTACAATCCATTGCAGGACTAAATTAGAAAATTCAGTTAATGTATGAAAATGTAAAAAACACCCTCTGATATTTGTTGAGGACTTTCACTACTGCACAGGGCAAAAGGTCCATAAAGTCCAGAAATTTCAAAACTGTTGCACTGACGAATTGATTTTGGAAAAATACCAGTATCTAGGGAATATCCACTTGCATACAAGCGTCTATGATATGTACACAGATCCGGTTATTCATTATGCAAAACTTCCAGATTCTAACCATTCAGCGGGCGCCTTCTATCGGGTCTTCGGTAACCCTTTGTTGTATTTAAAAACATGGCAGCAAATTGAGCAATCAACAGCTTAGTTCAGTTTCTGCACGAAATGACGTCACAATTTCTCTAATTGACTTTGATTGGCTGCTGGGGGGTCGTATAAATTTGCATCGCGTACATATATCGGGCATTGTTGCGGAGATAGCGTGCGGGCACCATTGAACAACGGATGATTTTAACTAGAAACCCAGTGATCCCCACTAACAATTTTCTTTTCATTTTTTAAAGCAAAAACTGAGCATTCTGTTTTTGTAAGAAATTATTGTATCAGACTAAAACATTGAACCAAACAACAATCTTTCCCACACCCACGGGATTATTCCCAAGAGAGGTTATCAGGGATTTATCTTACGTTGCGAAAACAGTAAATCTTCTGAACAAATACCCTAGGAAAATGGCAGAGTGATTAATTTTTTTTTGGTGGATCACGTGTCCGTGTTTTTGTTTGATTTGACGATAGCAGTAACTTATCTAAAGGTATTAAGACAAAATTACGCAAACACCTGTTTACTCAAGAGAGATTTGAAGAGAAAACCGTACCAAAAATACTTTTGCGACTACGATAGTCTGGGATATCGCAAATTACAATTATTGCCTGTTAGTGTATGATAGGACTTCATTGTAAATATTTTGGGTAAATATTGTGAAAAATGTACAAATGTAAGCAAGTTGGAGAGGGGGAATAGTGAGATTAATAGATTATACAATTCAAAATTCATATAAAATGATGGACAATAAAGAAGTTACTCATAATAAAGAAGTTTACTCAAACACAAGCTTTTATTCCTAGCATTCATGATGTATAATAACAATTTCTAACTTAAAAAAAATTAAAACTTAACACACACAAAAGTTATATTGCATGAACCTTCCCCGCCTTAATTGTGTGATAAACAAATAGGAAAATTAATGGCAAAACTGTACAGTTCATTTACAGATTTCAGTTTTTTCGTCTTGCATGTGCTTTGCTATTGCACATACCTCTGTATAAGTGTTTACAATTGTACATAACAAATAATTGAAAATATATTTTCGTTCCAAAATGATTAAAAGGAGTTCAAGAACTCTTTTTGTTGTGTAGAGGTGTGTACATGTATTGAGCAGATCTGTACTTAAAAAGAAAAAAAAAACGACATTCAAATGGCGAAATTGCTACTGATATTTATCATTTTGTCCTTAATAATTCATTTGTCCTTGATTATTTGATTCAACAAGGATTTCAAATTTACAATTTTGGAAAAAAGAATTTCAAAAATAAGTCCGCCAAGTTTTCCGTTGACTGGGGTCAAAATCTGCACAACATGAAATCAAGTAAAAGATGCTAAAAATACAATTAAGTTGCATAAAAATTATTTTTTAAAAGTTTGATATTTTGATGGAAGGTTTCTTGCCCATATAATATACCATCATGAACAAAATCGACTTAAGGTTGTAGGCTAGTAAATAGGTCCAATATTGCCTACACCGGCCGAATCACAATTAACATGCCCTCAGAATCTCTAAAGAAAGAATGTTGCAATCTGACGCCACTTTGTTCTTCACATATCACCTCAATAAAGGTCCGTCATTGCAAATACATGTATGGTGAAAAGACATAAATCTGGGACTGAGAAACATTTTCAATTTTAGGAAATACTTGGAACATTTTCTTGACTCGCCATAGACTTTGTACACAACCGCTGAAGTGGCGTCAGGATACGACATTCTTTTCATCTCTGCCATTAGAGAATTGTAGTGGGCCATGAACTTGAAGGTTTGTAAAAAAACAGAAGCGTGGAAACCATGAACAGTACTGCACCCTCGTATCTCTGTGAAACTTGGATGAAATTGGGCCCTAAAACTGCTCTATTTGCAATGGAGTGTAGGCATCATTTTTTTTTCAAATGGCGATTATCAGGACTACTTTTAGGTGCGATCATCTTTGGATGGAAATTCCTCCCAAAAGACATCGGATGACCTCCAAAAATTAAACAGAATATGCAAGATGATGAAATAAGCTTTAAATTGATGTGAGTCTCAAACACCTTGGATTGTTGTGATTATTTTTTAAATCGTGATTTGGCCAGCGTAGGACAATTTCGGGTCTATCTTCACTGGCCAGCAACCTTAAAAGAGTACTGCACTGCCCTCTACAGTCATGGTTGTACAACTGCCAGTATCAAACTATAGAGGGCTCACATCCACAACTTAACCACTTTCTAACTATCATGACCTTTTTGACTGTATCATGTCACCAGATGGATAAGTAGCTTTGGAATTTCTTTGCCATCACCACAATCTAGGAGAGCAAACAAAATATACATGTAAATACATAAACTGTAGTTTTTAACGACTTGTAATACTATACTATATATATAATTTGCAGCAAACAGCAACTATTTTAAGTACCGAGTACTGCCGAGTACTTAGGTTATCGAGTATGAGTACTTGTACTTCCATGTACAAGTTCAGATCTCCGAGTACGAGTACTTGTACTTTCGAGTACAATTTTTACATGTCGAGTACGAGTACTTTGCTGCCCGAGTACGAGTACTTTGATATGCGAGTACGAGTACGAGTACTCCAAATAAAGTACTCGAGTAGTACTCTAAGTACAATGAGTACGAGTACAACACTGTAGAATACAATATGTATTTGCCTCTTCTGTTTATCCCCCAACCTTCCAAACCCTTGAAAATAATTCTAGACTTATCTGCATTTCTTCTATATTCCATAAATGTTTTGTCTGTACATTAAAACAATTCCCTTCCAAAATCCAAATGGAAACATGAGTGAATGAAATCTTACCATGGAACGGTGACTCTTCCCCATGAAGAGCAGATATAGCAGACAGACAAGCATCACTGTTCTCAAATCTAAGACAAGATGGATTCAATTATACGAAGAATTTAATTTAAAAATTCCCACAGTTTGTATCAATTTTGTACTCAACTGGTGACGCTTTGCAAATGGAAGTCTGTGGAATATCCCAAGGGTCTATGATATGCGAGCAGATTCGGTGATTAATAATGCAAAACAAGACTGTGTCTTGACCTCGAGATTCTGACCATTCGGCGGGCGCCTCCTACATGTATATATCGGGTCTTCGGTAACCCGTTGTTGTATAACAAAAACATAGCATTCAATTGACCAATCATCAGCTTAGTCCACATTTTGAATCACAATGACATCACATTTTTTACAAGTTGAATGCCACTGGTTGGCACGCGGGCTCGCATAAAATTAGCATGTTAGGATATATCAGACATTCGCCCGTGGCTCTGCACACGTGAATATCTGATCCTCAGGCTGGGCAAATGGCTGAAATCAGCAGAATATTAATTCAACATTCTGAGAAAAATTAACTGCACAAATGGACCAACCGGACTATTACAGGCTAAACAGTTGATGCTTTGGTTAACATTTAATTTCCAATTGGAAATTTCCTCTCAATTCATAAAATATTTGTCGCTTTCCTAACTTGATTATGGGGTGCTGTGGTCCAATGGTCACGGTGTTCGATTTGTGTGCCGTGGTACACAAGTTCGAATCCTGACGGGGAACATGGTGCTTGTGCTCCTGAGCAAGACGCTTTACCATTATTGCTTCGTCCTTCGGATGGGACGTAAAGCCGTAGGTCCCGTGTATTGTGTAATGCACGTTAAAGAACCCAGTAACACTTATCGCTAAGAGAAGGGGTTTGCCCCGGTGTTTCTAGCAGTGACTGCAATATGCGCCGCAGCACCTTGTCAACCCTTACAAGGCGCTACATAATGGGTCTCATAATTTCTCATATACTTTATTTACCTTTCTTTAATAATACATGTAGACATAATTTCCAGCGCCTTGAGTACCTAATTGTTGGTAGATACGTGCGCTATATAAGTCTCCATTATTATTATTATTATTATTATTATTATTACAGTTAAGTCAATCATAAGAGGAATCAGGAATCAGGTCACGGTGCATTTAAAAAGCTTGTCATGTGACTTGCGACTGGATGACTGCGCCTATGACACACGCGCCTATGGGAAGAGGCTGAAGCCACTTCCCATAGCCGCGTGTCTAACTGCAAAGCCGTAGCCAAGGAAATCAGACCCAGCCTCTGCTTCACGCACCTGACAAAAGCAATCCCGATGCAATTTCCCGAGTCGCTGTCCCTGAGTATATCACACGCAATGACAGCACCGAAGCCGTACATGACGGACTCCAGGCGCTGCTCGGTAATGTTCTCCGGTAGACATTCCACCTGGATCAGGTTGGGCCCTCCAGGCATGGCCTGCAAAATTGAATAGAATTGATCATCAGGGAATGATTACAATGTAATAGTAATACAATTGTATTACATTGTATTACTATTACATTGTAATTATACAGGTCCTAGTGGGTTAAGAATTTGCTGCATGAGTACATGTATTTGCTATGATGTGAAATATTTATGTTTGTGTTGACGTTCAGACAAGGTATGAAAGAGAAATCTGTACCCTGTCTTGGTTCTGGCTTGTTCCAGTCACACTGCCTCCCGAGCTCCTCTCTCTGCTTCCATTCTCAGGATGGGTGCTTCCAGACGTGGATGATGCAACAGCCCCTTCTGATGCGTTCGTTCTGGGAGCTTCCTTTTCTTGGCAACCTTCTCTGGTTTCTTGGCTACCGCCTTGTCTTTTCTTCCCCTTTCGCCACCTCTTGCTGCCCTCCCCGCTGCCTCTCCGCGAGCTGTCCAGCGAGCCCTTGTCCCACTCGGCCGGAACCGAGGAAATGGCATTCAAGGCGTCCTGCAGACTGTAGCTCTTTCGGGGTCCTCCCCGACCGCAATCGGACTGACACGCCGCCGCGCCGACACCGGGCCACTGCTCCCGACTATTGAAGTCCAAAACCGGCGCCGTATGGGTCGATCGGAGCGACCCTGTTGATCGCTGACGCTCGTCCCTGAACGGGTTAAATCCTTCCGCGCCCCCCATCGGCTTGCCTAAGAATTTTTCCATAAGGCAGGCCTTGCCTTCGAGAATCTCACTCGTGAGTCCCCGCGTGGCTGCGCCCAGGAAATTCTCGCTCAAGGAAGAGGAGGGTATTGTCCGAGGCTGATTAACCATCTGAACAGAGTCTTGGGGCTGGAGACTCCCAGGCAGGTTTTGGCCGGAGAAGTTCCTCACGACACTTCCTCTTCCTGCAGGCCTTCTAGAATTATGCTATTTTGGGTTTAATGATTAAAAACAAGAAATACGAACATCGACAAAATAATTGTAAACAAATTATGGGGCATAAAAGTTTTTTTCCATTGTTTCCTACTAACAGAAACCAAGTTAACAACAAATTTATATTTCTCTCAAATTTTTCAAATTTACACCATTGTCACATTTTGGATATACAGTCCACTCTCGTTAGTACAAACTCTGTTAATACAAAATTCTGGTTATAAAACAAACATAAAGCCTTGGTCCCGACTGTGCATTTATGTGCACAATGAATGGGACTGATGTTCCTCTTAATACAAAAATTCTGATATAACAAACAATTTGGCTAGGTCCGAACGAGTTTGTTATAACGAGACTCGACTGTACATAGATATTTTTTTCAAACTTGTCACCCAAATTTTACAAATTACTAATGCAAACTAATTTTTCTTTAAAAAAAATGTGTGGGCTAATTGCTACTTGCTAGGGAAAATAAATAGATCAAAATTACAGATTTGTGTCCTTCCAAATTATTACTTTTTTTAAAAATCTAGCAATTTCTCAGCACAAACCTTTTGCCTGAGCATATCAAAGTAAATCCGTGGAAGTCTGATGTTACATGGGTCCGGTCTTTTCCTGGCGCCCCGCCCAATGGACGTCACGTACTTTGGAGGCGTGGCAAAACTGTCGGAAAAGTCGGACTTCAAAAACAAAAATGTATGGGTTTTATTCACAGGTGCCCGATTTTAAAGACTACATATACTTCAGGAATTGATCATTCCTTTTTGGGGGGTTCTTTGCTTTCATTACCTTAAAAATGGATTATCGAGTGAGAGAAAAATTGCAGTTTGGAAAAGTGACGACACATAACAGGCCCAACACATCCCAGATGTACTGTGGGATTTCTCAAAGTCGGCAGACTGAAGTTAAGAAAAAACGGATCTTTTTCCTGCTTTTACAGACATTATTATTAAACCTGTCACATATTTTATATAATGTGGTCACAGTTATTTTTAGAGAAGCAAAATCAGTCCACAACAGTGTACCATAGCACAACAATACCAGCTCTATGGCTGATGACGTGGGAAATTTGCCAGCTCGGTATTCAACATTTTGCAGAATTAGAAAAGTTTCAAATTATTGACTGTTTCAAAGTATCAGGAACGGGTCTGTGATTTAGTTAAACTTTCACAATAATTAGCTCAGATGTAATTAAGGAATTATTCTAATAGGCGGAATTTAGGCCGTGGTATTTTAACAACAAACCTTGAAAACATCTTCATCTTCAAGCTCTACATTTAAATCTGGTTTCCATGGTGCAGCATCCACTCTCCCATTCTTTACTCGTACCTCAGTCATAACTGTGCTAAATAAACTGGGAATTCAATTTCAAAAATACCTGCTTTATCTCACATCTGTTTCAATATCATGCACTTATGTTATTCTTACGCAGTGGCTGTTGTTACGGCAGCCGTAACGCAATTTTCGACTGCTGTCATTTTGGCATCATCTGGCTCCCTGAGCTAGTACTAAGTAGTAGTAATAATAGTATTCAAAGTCAGGATCTTTGGCTGTTGGAACCAGATTATCATTCAACCGAAAGGTTCTCGGACTTTAGGCGAAGTAAAAAAAAAAACATGTTTAGCGTCCCCGCCCGCTTCCTTTTTAGAGGCCGCCTCCTTTTTTTTTTTTTTTTTTTTTTTTTTTAAAAGACAAAAATTAATAAATTTTAACGATCTCTGACCAAAGAAATCATATTTTTAGACTTTTATACCGTGTATAAAGCTGTGGAAATAGTCAATGAGTCCAAGTGGCGGCCATTTTGAAAAAAGCTGGTAACCATCTTGAAAAATAGCCCGCCCGCGTTGTCTTGAAAAATGTGTCGGGCGGCCATTTTGAAAAGAAAAAAAAAAAAAAAAGGGCCTCCTCCTTCCTTTTTGTCAAAGAGGCAGGACGCTAAACATGTTTTTTTTTTTTTTTTGCCTTATTTCCCTTAAAAAAGATTCTCCAAAGCCACGGATAATGATGAAGAAAATGAAATCTACTTAATTACCAAAAAAGAAAGATTGCATTAAAAACATGAAAGAAAACTATTAACAATTTTCTTTTTAAATTGAGCAGCGTGGCTGCTGTTTCAAACCCAGAAGCCAAAAACGTACAGTAGTCAAACAAATAACGATTCGAGCTACCAAACTAAAGCGTTGATTTTGCAATACCGTTACTCTGATTTTGCAATTCCGTAATGATTATGCATTTCGGCTGCCTTACTATGCTACTTTAGTCGTAATGCCATGAAGACATCGTCCAACTGAACTGGGCTACCATACCACTAACGTTCATGAACGTTAGGGCCTACGAATTCATTTTTGCCTAAATTCTTTGACATTGTTTTCAAATTCAGAGGATATTTGTGGACAACCATGGAGAAATAAGAGAAGAACTGAATCTCCAAAGTCCAAACTTCCTGTGGAAACCACAAAAGTACATGTACCTCTGAAACCACAAAGCAGATATGAAACAAGGCTAGACAAAGTCAAAGGTCATTCATGTCATTAAATCGAGTGCAACGAACTCCCGGTACGTTCGTGAAATACATTCAACCCCAAAATGTCTGCTATGAATTTTGGGCAAAAAAGCTTCAAACCTCGACCGCCGGACAAGGGCAGCTTTCCTCTGGATCACGATGGTAGCTTTTAACTTTTAATTTCTTTGTGATTCACTAACAAAATCATGCATCATAATTACAGATAATTTGTGTCGGTTCCATGCGTAAGCAATCGGGATTTTGCTGGTAGTTGTTATAGCGCCCTCAAGAGTTACATTTTTTCCTTTTATTGTGCACAGTGGTGCAAACAAAATCCTCAAAGTTTTGAATTTCAGTTATTTCTTCCTTATTTAAGCCAGATATATTTTTGTGGTACAATTGGATTAAATTGTAGGAACACTTTTTCTTAAATCCACATTCTTTTAAATAAAAAAAGAAAGTGGATTTCAGGAAAAAGTGATTTGATTGAACAGTCTATTGCAAATGTCACTCATGAATGCCTTTAAGTTTTGGCACAATAGCACTGTCATTTGACTGGGGGAAGGAAGAGGGGGCACTACAGTATCAGTGCCTTTTCTCTGGCCACAATACTCAAGCCCGCTGGAAAACATTTTTGCCGGGGGGTGCTGGGATGTGTAATTCATACAACTAAAACATTTGTTAAAGTAGGGGGGTGGGGGTTAGATCCGTGAACAAGGCGTCAATTACAACGCCACACTCCAGAGTTGTGTAGAAACACTCCAGGCACTTGATTGTACGGGTACCCAGATGGCTCCGCTCCTACCATTCTGCGCGCGCATGACTCAGAGTACCAGCGCGACTTGCGTGACCTCGTAAAATCAAAAGTTGTGCTCGTACGTTTTTATGTGAGTCTGGAACGTGGCTTTGTTATTGACGCCTCGGGTTTGCCGGGGGGGGGGGGGGGGGGGGTCTTTCATTGTATATTCCAGCACTCGGCTCCCATCCAAAAAGTTTGGCATGTTAGGGGTGATGCAGGACCAACAGCATCCCCCATTCCTGCGGGCTTGACAATATTTTTGGATATCATGATCATCTGTTAATCGCCTGGGAAAGATAGTGAGTTTGCAACACTACTCATAACGGTCACAAATTGAGGTATTAAATATGCAATTCTCTTCTACACATTAAAAACAACATTGAGCATGGTTATAAATCATCAGTGTGCAAGCTAATGGTATGAGTGATTGGAAACCCAGAATTAAGAATACCCCAAAATTATTGTACACTATATTTACTTTATTCAGGGGAATGCAAGAAGTTTAAGGAGAATTTTATGGAGTGTCTCAGAAAACATCACAACGACAACAATCAGTGTCGGCTACAGACCATGGAGTACCTGCAGTGTCGGATGGAAAGGTACACGATTATTTTGCACATACGTTGAACTAGAATGCACCCGTGTGTGTGCCCTCTAGCACTGTCACATAATCCACAGTTTCACTTTTTTAATATTGCTCAACGGTTCCTTCATGCAGCCATCTTCTGTCATGGAGCCATTTGCCATCAACAAATGCTTGTCATCTTTGTACTTGTAATTGGCTTGCATTTTCTAACTCTTTCCACATGCGGACCCAGAACTTTTTCAAAGATGGAAGGGGGACTGTTGGCTCGTGGGCTTATTTTTGCAGGGGTTTTCTGAAGGGTGTGGGGAGCAGCCAGGGTTCTGAAGCGTGTGGGGGCTTTAGGTTTTTTTCACCAGACACCCGCCCTCCATAAAATCTAATAGTGGGGGGGACACCATCTTTCCATGGGGGCGCTGTTCAAAATGTGGCTACATTAGACCATGGCTGCATTAGACCATGGTTAGACAATAACTAGCATTATTTGCTTTCCAAGGGGCGTTACAATAAACAAAAAACAAAAAAAAAGTTTTGGTGAAAAATACGCACACAATCACGGAAAAAATGGACTTTATGTTGTTCCAGCTAATCAGGGTAACTCATATGGCTGTGCTTTTCCTCGGATGCCACATTTTCAGTTGGGGGGGGGGGGGCGACTGGGGGTGTGGCCAGAGTTTTGTAATGTTCTCTCCTAGGCATACTAAGCGGTTGGTCAATGACCATCCCAATTTTTTTCCCGTATAATTTTTCTAATATTAGTAATCATCACTTATTCCTTGTTTTACTCCAGAGATCTGATGACAAAGGAACCCATGAAGAAACTTGGTTTTGCAGACATGGATGCAACAAAAGAGCAGAGCAGCTAGCGAAGGACCTAAACGTTTTAACTCCATTGGACTATGAACAAGATTTGTTCAGCAAAACGACCTAGTTGACTTGCGAACAAATCAAAAGCGGCTTTTAAAAAACGGGGAGAAGTTTCCAACAGTTGGCCTTTGTACCAGGGAAGCATAGGTATAACTCCCAGGAGGTTGTGTGCTGTCAAAGCGGAAATGCTCAAGTGCTACAGCGCAAGTCAGATTTTATACAACGCCTTAATAAATGCCTGTCATTATGATTGGTACTTGTAGGTCGCTGATCACATGATTTATTCATCCCAGCCCACAGCCCGGCCCGGCCGACCCGCAAAAATAGAAGTTCTATTGCACGGTAAATAGAAGTTCCATTGCATGATCACATGACTGGTGCCTCTGACCAATCAGATGAAGAGGATTTATTCAGGTGTTGTATAAAACAAATAATGAATGTTTCACATTTGTGCAATGGAAAGAATAATACAGTGACAGACGGAATGTTCCATTCCACAAGGCGAAGCTGAGTGGAATGGAACATTCCATCTAGACGTCACCTCATGCAATTATTCTTACCATTGCACTCATAAACATTCATTATCTGAATATATGTACTTACATTCTTGCTGTGGGCTCGTTTCTTAAACTGGGATTGTTACAGGGAGTAATTCTACTGTATGGACTGGTTTATACTTGTACATGTATGTGCATATTCTCTGTTTCCTACTTTCAACCCATTAACACAATTGACTACAGTAGTATTAGGAAGCACCGTCTGCAATTAAGCTGTAAAAGGTTGCCAACATTTGTAAATGTATAATGTACAGTTTATATGTGGATATTATTCTACAAAACCCTTAGAAAATAAAGTCCACCAATCATTGTTAAAAACCAGTAGCAACTGACAGCAAAGTATGCTGAATTGTGTTGCCTTTTATTCATATCTCGAATCTTCATTAAATTTGGTAAACTTTATAAAAAAACATTTACCAATACAAAATAAGATTGCCCTCAATATTAGCAATAATTGTGTAACTTTATTGCACATTCCACTCTCGACATCAAAGAAATCTGAGAATTTTTAACTTGCAAAGAAAAGAAGTTACTGGAATTGTGTAAATCAAATTTCTAGAATGATCATTGTGGATTTTGGTATGGAGTTAAGGTTAAAAAAGAGTACTTATTTCAGGTTTTCAACTTTATTCAGTTAAAAATTCATTCATATGTTGGTTAAACATATGTTTGTCTGAACTGACTTTTTATAATTTCCAATTTTTAATTCGAATTTCGAGTCAAACACACTTTGGCAGCACGCCATGTCTGTAAAAAACAGAATTTATTTGCTTTTGCTGTAATTTCAGAAATGGATCGATTTAGGCAGTAGTATTTTATAGCAAATATTGTTACACTGACCTGTTTAAAGTTTTGTATGCATAGATGCTGGAAAAAGAAACAAGAAAAAAAATGCTTTTCTTGTAGTTTGGTTCCGTTACCCTAATTCAGACGAAACGGAGCAATTTATAGACGTCAGGGAATTGTCAGGTCGGAAACCAGACGAGCTGGCTTGCACCCTTCACGGAATGTGTAACCAATTGCAAACAAACTGTGGACTAACTAAATTTGGTAAATTGGGTGTAATATTTGAAAAAAAAGTCGGTTGTTGGACATTGATACAAAAATTCCTCTCTTCTTGAAAATGACAGCACACCAGGTGCCACAATTTCACAGGTTGTTTGAGACCATTATTCACAATGCAGTCCAGTAAGGCATTTCATAACAAATTGGTATTTTTGTTTTGTGATGTTTGCAAATGTTAAATAGTATCTTTAATACACAAAGTCTTCCACTTCCATTTCTACCCCAAAAATATAAAATTCTGTATGAGAATGCACCAATTTGATTTGCCTTTCCCAATCCACCATTCATCAAAATAATTGGTCGGTTATACGGGCAGTGGCTGTTTATACTCTAGAGCACCTACTCAATAGGCCTACCAATCAGGGGTAGCAATGCCAAAAATGTCCAGAAAATCTTAATCAAGTCTTAAAAGTCTCGATATTTACAAACTTCAGGGAATTTTAGCTCGATCTGTTTCTACCCTGTCCACGACCAAGTCGTAAAAAGCAATCGCCTGTAACAAGCAGTTGGCCAGGTGCTCTTTCTCATGCTTGGTCGCGGAGTGGAACGTCTCCGCGTCCTCCCAGCTCAGTCTGGCCGGCAAATCCTCGTCATTTTCATCCTCTCTCTCCGCCTCCTCGCGTAAGATTTTCGCCACGACGTCCTGCCCGCTCATGCGCGTGCCTCCGACCTGCAAGCCAAAGTGGCGCCCGACCTGCGTATGCAGCATAGAGATCACGTGCGGGGTACCGGTTTCTTTTTGGTCGTGGTTCAGGGCTGTAAATAACATGCTCTGTAGAGTGCGTTGGAAGAGGAGCATCTGATAAGTGGCCTTGTTAGCGTTGACGTAAGGTTGGTGCTCCAGGACATAGAGGTCTGGGTTGGGCATTTCAGCGATGGCGTCTGTGACCTTTCAGAATTTAAAAAAAAACAGAAGAAAAGGTAAAAACAAGATGTTAAATATCTAAATAATTTTCAGATTTTTAAATAAGTTACTTAAATCCAAGCAGAAAGTACAACTCTCAAACAAACGAACATGATTGTCAAAAGTGCAAATTGAATCTTAACTAATCAAATTCTCTCATTCAGACAATTACCTAGGTGGTGCCATGCTTGCATGCAGGTTATATCAGTGCACTCCTTTAAGGTTGCCAAAATATATGGATGCTTCTCAATTTCACAAACTATGGGACATGTGAGTAAGTGTGAAACCACGTCCGAATTTGGCTTCTAATTAATGGCGGATTTGGCCTCATCCAAACTATTTAGCTACAGCTTGTTATTGTATATGCTTGTCACTTCTCATGCACACACGTGTTATTGGCGTTATGTAGCCAAAAACTGAATTGAACAGCGCCCTCTACAGGTGGACTGTGACAACCAGTATCCTCGCTCACCATTTTGTGGTAGGCTGGGGGGTCCCATTTGCCTGCCTTGATATCTACGATGTCCTTGACTCGCCATTGCCACACCTGTCTGTCCCTGGTCATGTACACCCAGCTAAGGTGCCTCAGACCAACGTCTACTGCCACTATGTCTTGCAGGGACTACATGGGAATAAAACAAGACAATTTTATTGTACACTTCTAACAATTTACTCCTTGTCAAGTGGCATCATCTACACGTGCTGTACGGCTACACAAATCCGGACCCAGGTACGTGGTAACTGGACACCTCTGTTATGGATGATGCATTGTGGTTACTATCGATCAATACAATGATAACAATCAACCACAATGCAACAAAAAGTGAGGTGTCCCATGATGGTGCTCAAGTGTTTGATAAATTGAGAAAGAGGAAAGATGTGTTAATGCAAAATAATTAATACTGTAAATTTGAGTAACATCCAAAACAACCACAGCCTATCCCCGACCTAGATTCTCTCTAGAACATAAAATACATGTATGGCAGATCATCCCAAAGCTTTGAAGTCAAACTTAAGAGATGATGTCAAGTCCGTTACAATTCAAATAGAAAGGCATCAGTCAAATCCCAAGTCACACACAAGTAAGGTCACAAACAGGGGTAAACCATTCATAAGATGGAATTTTATCGCTGGGGTAAAACAGCGATAAAGGAATTTCTTTGTCCTAGTTGATTTGGAAAAGCATGTGACTTGAAAGTGGATGACTTGATGACTTGAGATCGCTTTTGAGGACCCGACTTCAGCTCTGAAAGAGTCCCATTGCATCACCTCAATCCTGCTTGCAGCGATTCCAGCTTGCTGTGCTTCGGTCGTGGCTCCGTTGCCACTTACGTCCACCTGAAGCGGAGGCTTCAGGATTCCCCTGCAAATCCTCTGCAGTGTCTGTCGGCCGATCCCGGGAACTTTCAACAGCTCCCTCACCTCCGCGAAGGGCCCGTTCGCTTCGCGGTGCGACACTATACAGGTAGCAATATTTGGGGACACGTGCTTCATTGCTGCGAGGTCCTTCTCTGAGGCTGTGTTGACGAGTTGGACAATTTTTGTTGAGTCTTCGTCATCATCAGATTTACCAACGTTGCTGAGATCTGACTTTCCTGAGAGCAACACTCCATCCTTTGAGTTTGAGGCCCCTTGGCATAATCTTCTTACTGAGCGAGAGCATGTTACCTGCAAATGTAATTTAATTTTGAATATAGTATTTGAATTTTGACGTAAGAAATATTCAAATAAACTTTTTATTTTCAAAGAAATAAAGTTTTAGTGTCTCAAGTACACGAAAAGAACCTTCTTCAAAAACTTAATTCTAAACCATCATGAACATGATGAATTTATCACTAGCCTACTACTACTTGTTTCACATCTGATCTCTGAATTTATTAAAATGTGAAAGTTGTGAAACATGCTGAACACACTGCACAGTGCAGTGGCTTCAATTAGTTAAAATAAATTCATTCATAATTTGCATATTAAGTTCAACTCCACCTGCGCTGAGAACCGCAACCGACAGCAAAGTTTGGCAAAACTTGACATTATGTTGTTAAGAAACACTTCACTTTTCTAACAATAACCATGGAGGATTAAGAATGTGTGCAACCCGGAACAGAATTTCCACGATCGGAGAGTAATGAAAGTTGCACGTGTAGTTGTTTACAAGAGCGCCCTCTGTCTCAGAAAAGGTTTGGTGGCGCTCTTTAACAATTTTCTTTTTCTACGGAGCTCTCTAAGTGTCATACAACTCCAACAGCTTTTCCAAGTCCCCTTTCTACAAATACAATCTACAAGCAAACCGCCTGTTCTGTACCATCGCAAGCGGTATTATTTATAACAGGAAGAAAAGCAGGAACGATTTGTTAAACACAAAGCGAAAAAGCGTTTCGAATTGGTACCCAGAAATGTCAGGAAACGACTAAATGTAAACATGCCTCTGAATGTAAACAAGAAAATGGCAAGGTCAACGCACTCTTTGAAACCACATTGTGACGTCATACATTAATTCAGCCGGCAACCGGCGGGTACCCGGACGTCTACACATGTTTTACCTATGCGTCAGGAAGCGGCTAACACAAACCGGTGTTAAATACGCAAGCAGTGTGAATAAAAAAGGCCGAAGGAAGAGCCAGCGGTTTGTCATTCGTGCGGAATTCCACGATTGTTGGTGTTTTACAAACGGAAATGCGACAGTTAGTTCGAATGTGTCATGAATTCAGGATGTCGGTAGCGGGACTTTGAAGTTTTAGTCACACTCATCGTAGACCCTCCGGTTTAGCAGTAATGTTGAGTTCTTGACATAAAATTCCTGTCTCAATTTTCATGTTGCGGTTGTCCAGCTAGCTGATGTGCAGCATTTGACACTGACAGGATGGTACAGCAGTACAAGTCCCCCGTACGGGTGTACAAACACCCGTTCGAACTTGTTATGGCGGTATGTATTCTCGTAAAACCTTTAGTCAGTTTCTTTTTAAAGCTTCATATATCTACTAAATAGTTTTATTAATTAATTTTATGTTTCAGTTACAAATATTTTTTAACCTGTTGAGAGTTTTGTTGAATTGACCCTGCCCAAATTTTGTTTTAAATCATAAACATAAATGAATGTTTATGATTAATGATTTTTACCATAAATTATGATTAAACCATTTTATTAGCTTTACATTCCATCATATAAACTAATTAATTTGTTTACAATTTTCAGAAAGAATGGAGAATAACTGGCATCCTTTCCCACTTCTTTTATCTGTTATTTGTGGCTATCTAAACTAATTATGCATTTTTTTGCCACAGTTATTGTTGTTTTTAAATAATTAAGATGTTAACCATGATTAAAAGCATTGATTTTTTTCACAATAATTTTTATATTGGAAAGAATGTTGCAACCCGACGCCACTTTTTCCTTCATATATCATCTCAATAAAGGTCAGTCATTGAAAAAAAATGTTGAACAGACATGAACCTGGGACTGAGAAACATTTCCACTACTTCCAGAACTGTAAGGTTTTACAAACCTTACAGAAAATTGTAGCAGAAAATTCACAACTTTTTCAAACCTCCAAACTCTCCTGTCACGAAATGTTCAGCCTCAATATTTCATTTTATCTTGATGTGGATAGGTACCTCTAGTCTAGGGTGGGTTGAAATCCCTCAAATGTCAAACAATTTCGTTCACAAGGATCCCTGGAGTCTCGCACTCGGCCGCCTCTCATCATTTGCTGTCGACTGAGGGCACTTTAATTCTCTTGACCAACTACAGCGCGGCTTTCATTCCGAGAGTTCTGGAAGTACATTTCCACTATTGTTAGGCAAAATTTGTTCTTGACTCTCCATGGACTTTGTACACAACTGGTAAAGTGACTTCAGCATGCAACATTGATTCCATTGAACAATGTCAAATACGTGTAGGGCCAAGTAAAAAAATAATCAATTTCTCGTCCCAGCCTGCTTCGTTATTCCCTTCTTCCACCCCCCCCCACCCTTTTTTAAATTCATACATTTGCAATATATTTTGCACTTGTCAGTATATTGTCTTGTGTTGTTTCCAACAAATATGTAGCTATGTAGAAAGGGTTACATTTCCTTTGGCTGCAATTTTGTATCAGCATTGAGGAATGGTGAACCTTTCTGCAAAAAAGCTTCTGCTTCCTTCGTTCAATTAAGAAGCCCAGACAAGAAACTATTTATTTTTACCCGGCCTTAAAGGTACCTTCTGGATGGAATCTTCTAAAATGTTGAGATGGCATGACCAAAGGCTTTCTTTTATTTGCGTCATTGTGCAACCAATTTATTTTGATTATTGTAAAAATGTAATTCAACTATTATTCCCACCCCTATCCAATTTACAAGTACAGCTTGATCAAAGTTATCTTCATTTGGCAAAAACTGACAGTTAAATGTTTATCAAACAAGTCAAACATAGAGTTTCAGCCGTACTTTAAAGGGATAATACAACATTTGCAAACATCAAAAAATAAAACTACCAAATCACTTTGAAATACCTTGCTGGACTGTTAGTGAATGACAGTGTAAAGCATCCTGTAAAATCATGGCACCTGGTATACTGTCATTTTCAAGAAAAGTGGTATTTTTGTATCAATTTCCAACGCTGATCGGCCGATCAGCGTTGGAAACATCTGGCTTTTTTTTCAAATACTGGCCACAATCGACCATCGCACTTGTTTGCAATCGATTACAAACCTATGAACGGGTACGAGCCAGCTAGACTGGTTCCCTGACCTTACAATTCCCCAATGTATGTAAACTGCTCTGTTTCTTCTTATATGGAGTCAGGGAACCAGACTACAGGGAAATGATCGTTTTTCTTGGTTTTTATAGCATTTTCGAACCCAAAACCTCAAAAAAGTCAGTGTAACTATATTTGCTATATATTTCGAACCCCCAAATTCCATCCATTTCTGAAAATTACAGCAAAAGCAAATGATGTATATTCCCTTTAATATGAAACATGCATGTAGTATACAGTAAAGCTAAGTAACACAGCAGCTGTATACTGAACGAGTTTCACTTTGGTAACTTCTAGACTTCCGAGAATTGAAATAAAATATGTTGACTTCACTTAAGGTGAAGTTTGACTCCATGCTAACTTGTCAAAATGTTCACCTCCTGACTTTCGAAAAGTACGTGTAAACATGGCAAAGGTTAAACACAATGGATCTAAAGTCCATTATCTACTGTAAAATGTGTAAGTTTTCATTTTGTTTTCTCACAGCTTAGAAGCATGCATTCATGTTTATTAAGTGTTTTTGATGAAGATTATTTTACCAAAAACAAAACCTACACCATAAAAGTGAAAAACAAAACCTAAACCATAAAAGTGTCATTTCGGATGACACACGTGTAGATACAAATGTACAAATTCTACAATGATCAGATAAAGAGGGGAATTTTTTTAATGTTGATCTTCCCTGAAAACAGGATAGCTCTGAGTAAATATTCCGTGTTTGAACATATTTTCAAGTACGGTACAGATGAGCGTGTTTGCAGGATGATTTGGCTTTTTGTGTAGAAAAGGTCTGTGATATGAGTTACCACTGTACCAGGCACGATGCGTAATTGTGACAACAGCACTGAGTGATATCGTGCAAAGGTTCTATAAATAGTATACATTGTAAGTGATAATGAAAACGTCAGTTATCAAACATTATTTTGTTATATGTTCTTTATCTCATCACTGTTACAATGACTTTGTTGAACTTTTTTTTATCAAGAGCCTGATGTGAGTCATTAGGCGAAAAAAAAAATAGTTCTGCTTCCGATTATATGCCTTTCAAAAATGTCGATAGGTTGGAAAATCTTTTTATTTTGCTAAATTTGTTTGTGTTGATTGAAATTTGGCCAAGTATGCAATGTGCTTTGTTCATTCAAGGCCCTGAAGTCTTGATACATAGAAATCATTATAAATTTCAGTATCATGCAGTGTGGTATTGCATGCAGAGCCCCACAACAAATTTAAAGGCAGCAATTGACATTATTGTCAGCTGTCATACATTTCCAACAGCTTTCTCACTTGAACAAACCCTGTGGGTGTAATATCTGAAGGTCACATCAATAGAAATGTAAAGGGGCGCATTGGAATAGTGAGAAGATACATATTTTTTGTACATGTATACCTGTACACGTGTACTATACAGTTCTTATTCAGGATTTCCACAAAGAGTTCTACATTGTTATTCTGCTTTGTTGAGCAGATAATGGACAGCCAACCGTTTCCCTCAATAATTATTTGTTGGACCTCAATCCCTCCGTGCCTGTATTAATCACACCTTACAACAGCTGTGGTTATTGTGTCTAGACTAGGTTTGTTGTGTGATCTTTTCTAGTGTAACATTTGTAAAAAGGAAAAAGAAAAAAGAAAGCAGTAGGCCTACACAAGCTGTTCATGTACATAATATACATACAAATGTAGCTTGAGCGTAAACATGCAGGAAGTTATTCAGTAAATAAGCACAAGTACACCTGCTAATCTATACTACACTGTAATAAACAAAATACTCTTTCTCCGTCTCTCTCTCTGTCAGCCATGAAGGAAGGATATTCTTCTTCCATGATGGTCCAGCTAGAATGTATGCATTTCGCTGTTTGATCACCTAGAGAGTCTGGGCACAGTCATATTACAACACAAAGCGTTCTTTCATACTCGGTATTTTCAACAAGACACTACATAACCATTAGTCAGCAGCTGAAACAGTTAGTACGGCAGATAGGTGATGGGATTGTGCCTTTGATGATACAAGCATGACGTTCAGCACAGAGTCAGAGTATGTCATGAGAAAGATATTTGGCTATAGGGCCATCACAGATTCATCCTTTGAATAAATATGGGTAGAATAACAAGTAACGGCAGCCATTTTGAACATTTTGAAAATTGCTTGTTATTCTTACTGTATTTTTCAAAGGACAAATGTGCAATGGCCCTATAGCCAAATATCTTTCTTAATTAATTAAGACATACTCTGACTGTGTGCCAAATGCCATGCTTGTATCATCAAAGGCACAACTCCTCTAAAGATTTCCCATATCTGCCCCACTAAGTCTGTTATTCCTTCCTCCCTGGTATCATCTGTACAGCAGCTAACAACTCGAAACCTTCAGAATGATTCCAATGCCTTTTCATCATGCTTGCCATTCAATTCCCGTAGCGCGAGATTCATTGTGGTATATTAAACATTTATAGACGGAGACAATCATCTCTTTGTGTGAAGGAAAGCATAATTTCAGGGGTTTACTGGCGTGTCTGATTACTTTGACATTTTGCTGACAAGCTTTGACATTTTGGTGACGAAATCATATATTGTTGGTTTCGTATTATTATTATTATTATCAAATTTTGGTTGGTGACCAGTAGAACGTAAACACAATGGTGCAGTTTTATGGACTCACAGAAACATGTCATCGGAGGCTTTGCATAGTGAAAAGCACAGCTAGGGAGAAATTTGCAGATGCACAATGTGAAGTGACTTACTGTAAAAAAAAAACCCTCAGAAGTGTGGTTATGAGAAGTACAATGTAGGAAAAACCAGAAGGGTTAACTCAATCTTTTGGTCATACTCATATGGTCTGATCGTTGTTCTGATCATGGTCCGAGGAAACTGACCAATACACTTTATTCACGAGTCGGCCATAAATTGAAAGCGAGGTACTGGTATTAACTCTTAATTTTTGGAATTTGTGAGTAGAAATGAAAGCAATGAAATAAAAGTTAATTACAAATTATGCTCTGAATAATTTAAAATTTGTGATTAAACATACCCTGATATTTTAAGCCACATTAAAAAAAATAGAAAAGTGAGTCTTGGAGTGAACTCCAATTATAAAATAGTCTGGCACCATCTGGTTATCCTAATTTTTTTTCAAACCAAATAGCGGTTATCTGATTCCACTGGAAGTTCCTATTCAGCTCCCAGTCATGCCAACAAAAACTGACGAGTGAGGTGCCACATGCAATGCCCTCCCAATGATTGGGTATAGTCTGCAGGACTGAATGACCATTCAGCCTTTACAAAAACACTTCAGAGCTGTAATGTTGACAAAATGGGTAGGAGCTGTCTGATAAGTCGAATGGGTAGGCTATTCATGTACACCAAGAAGACCACTAGCAAGCATGCAACTTTAGGCCTATCAGAGACCACAGAGCAAATTGGGGGATGTTCCAATTGTTTTCTTTTTAGCCTGTGTCACATAAAATGAAAGACTTAATTTTTGTTAGGTTGGTTTCGAATATCCATTTTCCAAAATCGAAACCAAATAGTGAAATTCGGTGAAATTCAAACCAAATTTTGGAAAAATTGGGACTTAAATCCCACAACCATTTTGTGAAAGGGGTTGCCGAAATTTCCAAATAGGTCTCTCTCAAATGATGTCATTTCCTACAGACCAGCCACGTGCATCGGCATTTTGAGCGTCAACTTACAAAACACGCATTGTCTGTGTTGTGTTTTTGAACACATTTCGAGCAACAAGCGCGCGTGTTTGGAACATTTTCAACACTGCGCGATGCGTGCTTGATTGCGTAAAATATGCAGTTGCAGTTCACCTACAGAGATGGCCATCTTTGAGAGAGACCTATAGGAGTTGCATACATGCATGTAGCCATGCTCTGTAGTTCTGATTGCTGCAGTTGTAAACAAGAAGACACCTTGTGTTTATTGATTTTTTGCCAGTGCAGAAATATTGAGCGACATGCCCCTGACAATTGATTTCTGTCAAAGCGGTTGGATGCTTTTAAATTGGTAACAAAAGGAGGGCACGCCAGCCTTTTGTGTCTTGAGAGACAGTACCCCTATGAGGCTACATGTCAAACTATGCACCTGTGTTAAAATTAGTCAATTGAATAATTAAAGGCCATACAGGGGGTACTCCATTTTACAGTTTTGTTTCAAATTTAAAATATCAGTTTCAGTTTGAAAAAAAAAATTGGAGCAAAGTCCTGTGAACGAATATCCACTTGATTATAATTTAAGGTGATTAAAATTTATAAATAATATTAATTTTTTTAAATGACTTTCACTTTATTTGTGTTGAGAAAATGTAATTTTTAAGTTTGCCATTCATTGTTTTATAAGGACTGTATATACTCAGTGCTGTGAGAGGATTTATAAGGAAAAAAGTTCACATTCGCTGTTTAATTGCTAAAAGTTAAGTGCTGTCTCTGAATACTACTGCCTCAGAATACCACAACAAGTAGTCTTTGGGATGTGCATTTGGCCCCTGAATTACGTGTACCGTAAACATGTACCGGTACATGTGTTAATTCCAGCTAGGCCTGGGTGAGTAGTGGATTTTTCTACTCGAGTACTCGCAAAGAAATTGCTCGTGAGTAGTCAAGTACTCGGGAGTACATGTAGTTCCGATTTAAGCAGAAAAATGACATGTACGTTAGTATGACGTGAAGCAACTTACAGGCAAATAGCGTGCATGTCTCACCATATTCTTTAGCACTGAGATATCCTTACTGTGCGATGTTTTACTTGAATATTTTTTTTGACAAATGGAATCCTATGGAGAGAGAGGTGAAGGGAGTGATTCCCTGTTTGCAGGGGACGTATTAAGCCGTGAACCCTGAACCCTAAATTACTACTGGTGAGTACCTGCTTCTACTCACCCCAGGACGAGTGCTCGAGTGGATGACAACCCACAAGTAGAAAAAACTACTCGCTAGTACTCGAGTTATTGGGTTACTCGCCCAGCGGTATTGTCAGCCATAACCACATTATTCAGATTCAGCCAAAAACAATCAGTTGGCTCGTTGTTCGAATCTGATACTGCAGATTTTTTAAATTATTGAATCGTATGTGAAAATGTGCTAAATCATCAACATATTTTTATCAAATTTTATTTTTCTCTTCCAGGCGTATCAGAAACGGTTCCCCACCTGTAAGATGATACCAATCTTCTTAGGCAGCGAGATTCTGTCGGACTTCAAGAGCGACGACGAGGCCGTACACGTCGTGGAGCGACGCTGCAAACTCAACATGGACGCCCCCTACCTGCTGAAAAAGGTAACCCAATCATTGGAATCTAGCAGTCTTTTCGCGCTATCGTCTCGCCCACCCATGTTGAAATCATCATGAGTTCACCATGACCAAAACTAGGTACCATTGAACATGGGTAGGCAAGACATATACATGTAGTTCACGCATTCTTTTTCCGTAACTGTGGGGACTACACACATGTTGTCCCATGGTATTACATGCATAGGGACCGAAGACACTATGGGGACAGTAGAAAGTCCCCATAACAGTAAAAAAAACTTCTCCATAATGCGGTGACGGCCCGCCCACACTTACATTGGTGTGTACGCAGGTCGGTTGTAGATTTTGGATTTTTCTACCCACATAGAGTGTCTCATCCCAGGTTTCAACTAGGGCTGAATTTTACCTGTATAGAAAGCTAGACCCATGTAGAAACTGTGTTTGGATTCCTGCTAGCATGAACATGATGAAAGGGGCTGCCTAAACCTCAGGTTTTACCCGCCAGGTCAAACACAGAGAGTTTGGATGATCATTAAAGGGCTTTAACAGGTCTTCACAGCAAGCTGCAACTCCTTCAGCAAGACTCAGTGAAGAACTTCAACTCATTGTATAGTGTAACAGATGCTTTCTAGGTCAATCAATATATTTTTACGAGCACAAGCACTTTGGATTGGTTGTTACCCAGTTCGCATCAGAGAACGTGATTACACGCACTGGCTATTTTTATAGGCGCAGTTGACAGGTTAAACGTTAAGATTGCCTTGACTCGCCTTTGGGTGACATCTAAACATGCTAATCCCTTGGGTCTTTTGTACACACACAATAAAAGACTGTGAAGTCTGTGGAGGCGTGTGTTGATCTTGAATTGGCCGCTGTGCTTGGCCTATTGTTCTACAATTTACGCCCCATTGCACACCTCAGAGTATTTAAATATGAGGTTTCGGCAAGAAATATCACACAAAACCTGTTGAAATGACTCTTGCGAATCAGTATTAGTGGTGTTTGCCTGTATATTAGAAGTTAGCTGGAAATTTTGCCTTTTGCAAAAATCAAAGTTTTCGGCAAAAATAATCCCGGCGCGAAGTGGTTAAACCCAAGGAATTTCTAGATGGCCCTTTAGGGTTATCTTAATTCTCATCCTACAGATTGTGTTGTTTGAGTGTGATTGATCAACTTCAAACATACATGTACATACACACACATGTACAATGTACCTGTACATGTAGTCAGAACCTCGACTTTGAATACCTGCTTGCATAAAGTCAATCCATCTTTTTGATCTGTTATATTCTAGAAGTTCCTATGCTCATAAAAATTTCAGTTTCACAGGAAACTAATTTCGTTTCGCTGAAGACTCAGTCAGTGAAATCCCTGAAATTTGATGTTTGCTGTGAGCCAGACTGCGGTATTACACAGAGGGAATATTGGTGAATGGCATGTCCTGTCAATATGCACAAATTGCAAGGACCCAATAAATAATGCATGTGCAGTATATATGTACATGTACACGGACATTGTACCTTGGTTGAAGGATGCAAACGGCATGTATCAACTGTAGGTACGTATAAATTACCAAGAGATTGACTTTGCAGTTTTTTGGCCATACTTCCCTACTGGAGGCCTGTGTGAATAATTTTTTTGAGTCAACCTGACTTCCAGTCCGGAAATTGCAATGTGTTCGTAGCTTGTATTAAATTGACCTGCAAATATAACCTTGAAATAGCCATTTACAAAATAATTCTTGATTAGTTAAGTGCTTTTGTATTATGGATGTCAAGAGGCGTGATCCCATGCTAATTAGTCAGAAGTCTTTGATGGAACGTTGTTTTACATGTATGCAAGGCAGTGCAGTTGCAGTTTGTTTTTGCTTGTAATGAAAAATGGAAGATTATAGATCTGTTAACTTAAACATTTTGTAGATTTCATTTCTATATTTTTCTCCAAATTCCTAAATCGATGTTGGACTTTACTTAATCAGTTTGTCAGTTAACGACTTAGAAATTAATTTAGAAGTTAATTATACCCTTTTGTCTTTCCTGTCCGACATTAAATGTTTTGTTATTAACGCTTTGCACTGCACCTTTAATGGTACCCATTTTTAAGCTCTGGCCAGAGCTTTTACATGTCACTTGGTGGTCGGTCGGTCGGTCGGTCGGTCTGTCTGTCTGTTCCGGAAAAGTGACCAAAAATATTTGACCAAAAATTGACCAAATGCCATGCCGTCCTCAGTAAGTGCACTCTTGACGAAAGTTATTGTAAAATTGGCTTTGTCTCCATTGATGCACATGCGCTTCTGTTTTGCATACATGTATGTCTGTCCCTGGAAAATTGACCACAAACGAACCCCCTAAGTTTCCCATAAAATGTAACTACCAAATTGGCATTTCAAGAAAAAAGCAAACAAAAGGAATGAAAACTATCAAAATTTTTTGTAACAGGGTTCTCCCCAGGATTGTTTCAAACCTGTGGGGGAAGTTTTGTTGTGATTCACCAACCTGCGAAGCCCGACGGCGTGGGGTTCGGGGCCCGCTTAAGGGCCCCGAAAAATTTTGAACTTTAGAGGCTCTCTGGTGCATTTTAGAGCAAATCTGGGGAGTCTTTATGGAAGATTTTTCCTTAAAATTTAGAGGAGATCTTGTGATATTTTTTGTAATTAGAGAAAAAAAATATCAACGTTTTTAACTTAAAAAAAAAAATCAACATTTCAAAACCTGTGTTAAACCTTCTTGATCTAGAAAGTATGGATTATATTTACAAGCAAGTTTCAAATTAAGAAATTAAGGTGAAGAAAAAAATCACTTTTGCTTCCGACTACATGGCTTTCAAAATAGCGTCGGTAGGTCGGAAAAATTATTTCACCATTTTTTTGGGCTGCTGATTGAATCATGGAGGAATAAAAACACATGATTGAATGGAGCATATTGAACAAGGAATCATGTAGTTTTGTGCCTGGATTATTTTCCTTTGCACCACGAAAATTATCAAGACTGACCATCAGAAGTGATTAAAACTTGCCTCACCTAATTAAAAATATATTTGAGGAGGTTGATTCCACTATGCTTAACGTACATCGATCACGGCCCCTGGCACTGCCAACATTCAGTCTGGCCGGCCGTACATCGCGCAGTATCAGTGTGCATTACTGCACTGTGTACGGCCCTACTGCTTCTAAGAAGCACACTACGATGTTTCGCCACAAGTTCGAGCTTTGCAATCTCGTCATTTTAATGGAAAATACATACACAGAAAATAAAGATCACGTTCTGTGAATTAATTTGCAGAAATTCTCTTTCTCCATCGATGGTTGTTTGGTGTTTTTACGATCCAACTTCGGCCGACATCATCATCATGTATGCACGCACGAGGCAGTAGTCACTGGTTCCGGTCCTTCATCATAGCATTGATACTTTTAGCACGCGAAGGGAACCAGTGTACCGTGCTGTATGCGCTAATATATAGCTGGCGGTTGACGCGAAAGACCCGTCATCGTGTGCATTTTGATCACGCATGCATCAGAAATGCGGGATTTTTGTCAAGATTTTGCATGTCAAGATGAAATAATGGTGTATGAAACGATTATGTTGTGCATTTTAATGGCTTGTATAATAATTATATTGTGCGTATCGGGGGCTGAAAAATGTGATCGGCATTTTTGTCGGCGTATCGGGCCGCAATTCCAGCGTATCGGGCCGATACGCACGTTTGTACGTGGGGAGAACCCTGTGTAACAATTCTTAAAGTTGTTTACAAAAATGTTGTTAATGGAGGCAAGATAATGTGCAGTAATGTATTAGCACGTGGTATATAGCACGCTATTTTTATGGGAAACTTTGGGGCTTATTTTGGTCAATTTTCAGCACATGATTTTCGCGTGGGATGGCGGCCTGGGCTTGTACGTACAGTGTACTACACAATCATTTCATGCAAGACTTTCATGAAAGTTGGCCAGAACTTATTGTGCACTCACACTTGTTTACAAACCAAACTTGTCACAGGAACATTCTACATGTAAGAAAATATAAATTTACATACATGTACATTGTACATATGTCCAAATTTCATATTGGCACGACTAAGGTCCCTTCCATACAGTTAAATAAATAATGAGTATGTACATAGTCTCTGTGAATAAATCCATTATGACTCTATGCCGACTGCAAAATTAACCTCTGTTATCCTTGAATTGACTGCCATGACCCAAGCGCAGCAGCCAAAAGCTCAATGCCACATGCAGCGTTTCATTTCCCGACTTGGCCTTTCTCTGAATTCAGTCGCATCCTGTATTATTTCCTGCATCATGCATGCATCTGAGATGTACAATGTGGAATTAAACAAAAAAAAGTTTTATAGTTGTGGTGAATTATTAAATGCCTATTGCTAATCTTTTCAGAATTATCTTCTGACCAGCGGTATCAAAGCCAATGGCACATGATATATCTGTGCATTCATTCATGGTAAAATTCCACAGTCTGACTAGAAAATATGAATTTGGAAAATGGAACTTTCCTGTGGAGCGCTGTACATGTACATGTGGTCCAATCGTTAAGGTGTTCGACTCATGTGCCGTGGTACGTGGGTTTAAACCCCCACTGGGAACATAGTGCTTGTGTTCTTTGGCAAGACACTTTACTACAATTGCCTCTCTCCACCCAGGAGTATAAACGGGTACCTGTGAAGGTCGAGACCAGACTGCGCTGATCTCGAGCTGCTGCAAAAACTGGTCTCATGGCCTGATAGGCAGGGGTAATAATTGTGAAGCGCTTTGAGACCTTTGGTATAAAGCGCTATATATTTACTCCTTAAATAAGTGAGTTTCAATTGCCCCCCTGCACTTACATTTGAGAAAAGTTTTTTATAAATTTTGTATTTGTTAATGTACACAGTATGCCTACAGGCACATTTGTTCAAGAATTTATTTTTACTTTAAAAAAAATTAATTCAAAAGGGCACAGCTTTATAATTATTTCAGACCAAAAGACTTCAGTAGAGATGAAGCATGAAATCTGGGAAGTTTTTTTATAAATTCATTGTACCAGCTGAAAACTTGACTGGCAAAATCCAGACTCCTGTTCAAGTCCTGTTGTTGTGAGTAATGAATTTATTTAAAACCATCATGGGTGTTTTTTTCATCGGTGATCGCTGCATTTTTTTCAATGTGTGTTTTTCCTTTCCTTGCAGATTGTAGGCGTGGACTACATCTACTTCATCCAAAAGAACTCGCTGAATTGGCGCGACAGGACTCTGAAGATTGAGGCTTACAACGAGAGTTTCTCCTCACGAATCATGGTCATCGAAGGCTGCACATATTTTGTAAGTTTTCTTGACCTCTGTAGCAAGCCTCACCATGTGGTCATGTGTTTACCATCTTCCCTGATATATTTGGATGTTGAAACAAACACGGAGAAACATGAGCAATCAGCACTATGTTGTCAGTGGTAACATTGCACTGAGGGGTTTCAATATCGGGTTGCACAAGGCTGAGTCAAGTCTGCCGTGAGCCAGTACTGCTCACCAGGCCAGCATTTATCTCCAGTTCCCTTGGCATGAAGCAAATAAAAATATTTGGGCAGTTCCAGCGTTATGAGGCAGTGTGATGTCCGTAACAGAGCCAAAACCATGATATCTAATTAATAATTAAGAGAAACGATCCAAAACTCCTACCTGTAGTCTGTATTCTCCTTGTATGACCATTACTAGATAATGGATGAAAAAGATTAGAAAAACACGTTTTCAGGTTTATTCACTGAGCACTTCAAAGCTCTGGTACGGGCATTACATGTGAAGGATGCCAGCACTGGTTACTACCCAGCTAATGCTGGCACCCATTTACATAGTGGAGAGAGGTACGGTACATTGGGGTAAATTGGCTTGCCCAAGGACATAACGTATGACCAGTAGAAGTAGCATGAAATTAGGTCCAAGTCTTGTGTGGTAAATATCACCGATGTAGAAAGGCAAGGAGACTCCTACTTAAGAAAAACATGTCAAAAAGTTCCTTTTATAAAATATTACGGGAAGTTATTAAAAAAACCAACGATATTTGATCCAAATAAAACGCTAGGTGGAATGTTCATCAGTTTATTTTTATAGTACCGGTACGTACCCGTATTTGTGTAATTAATGTTTTGCCAAAGCAAACATTGAAGTGAAATTGAATTGAAAAGCACGAGCAATAACAAACAGCTTTTTTATATTTTTACTGGAGTCACATTTCTGCATGCATGGCAGACCACATTGTTTGTTGCATTAGACAGCGATGGCCATTAGTTTGATCACAGAACTTGCGTCATCGAGAACACAAAAATGTAATTGATTTTTGACATTTGACTATCATGACAAAATTGTGCAGCATGCGTTAAGTGTTCATGTACACAACAAAGCCATGGGCTTGGGGGTGCTTTAAATTTGTTTTTCTCTCTAGAAAAAAAAATCACTCTTTTGTAGGGATATGAAGTCAGTCTTTTGTCAATTGTTTTGTCCGCAGTTTTGTGTCAGTTACAATGAGGGGGAAATGTTTAGAACCGGGGGATATACTTACCAGGAATTCACCGTAGATTTTGACCCTGAACTTTTCAGTTGTTGTTTATCAATAGAGTAGATATTTGATGGATGTTTTGGTCCTGCATTTGCAAAAAACTAATGAAAGTTTTGTGGTTGAGGTGACTTTGTCAAAACAAAAATTGGACTTGCTTTGTTTTCAAATGAGTACTGATTCCCTCTAGAATAAAACTTGTTTTTGCAAAAGTTGCTTTTCTTTTCATCCATGTCAGTATGACGCAGTGATGTGTTTCATAAACAAATGCAGGAGTTGTGTCATGCAGGAACGATTTTTGTGCAATTTCAGTTGAGTTGTATGTATAATTAGACATGGTTCATGTACAGGTACCGGTAGTATTAAATTGATGCAGTAGAATATGTTCCCTTTAATGGATACTACCCGTATATGCTGCTCATCAACTAGGTACATGTACATGTATAGAGCGAGCATTTTGGCCTAAACAATCTGCAAGATAATTTTACAGGTGCCCAGGCACCCAGAGAATCTACCGGTACAATGTCCTGTTTTTGCATGAATTATTTTATGTCCTGACTACTGGTAGGCTTATCCAGTGAAGGGCAAGGAATGGTTCTACATGTATAAAAGAAAAGAAAGCATTACATTTTTTGAAATTCGACCTCAACTTTTGTATCACTCTATACCAGATTTTAGTAAATTCTAACACAGGAGTCAGTAACTAGAAATGTTTCACTTTAGTACCAAGACGTTCATATGAAAGTCACACCTGATGATATCAGGCAAGACTTGCACGCTCTCTTGAGATGCCACATTTATACTTTTGGGTCATTCATGATACCTTTAAACTATTTTTTCATCCAAAAATTTCTGATTCTCTGAAATCCATCTTGAGTTTTTTAGGAAATTGTAGGTTTTAGGAAGAGACAGCCCAGCCACCGTATTGTACGTACATGTACATTGGTTGGACTCGATGTCCTTTCAAAGTTTCAAGTACAAAGAACTATACCGTTAGATTCTTGCACAGTGTTGGAATTCAGAGGGTCCAGGAGGTTTCTAGCAAAAAGAAATAATAAATTGAGAAGTTGGGGTTAAGATAATGCATAGTGGCAGTAGTTTAACATGTTTATGTAATGGAAGACTTTTGAGACGGTGGTGGCAGCAAAAATACCAGTTCTTTTTCCATTGTTTGCGTCATATTGAGCATGTGCAGTTTGGCAAAAACATGACGTAAACAATTGAAAAAGGACCGGTATTTTTGCTACCAAAAGTCTCCCATTATTTTGAGCGTGAATAATCCTCTTCAAATTCTGCTGGTAGGGTGGTATGGCTTTGCTTTTAACCTGTTAAAAAAACACCACAGATGGTATTTTTAGCGATTAATGACGCGCTGTCATTTTACTATGAGACGTGGGGGGGGGGGGTTGGAAGGGTGTTGGAAGAACTACAACAGATCGGCAAGGCCCATTATGACGAAAATCTATAAACAGAAATGTCAGTAGATGCCGGTAGGCACATTTGCAAACAACTTCAGTAATGGGTGAACAACGTACGTGTTCACGTACATTGATCAGTGTGGAAGGAATGTACCATGGTAGCACATGTGCATGCACAACGTACACGTACATGTATGTATATGTACATGTACATGTATGCATACTGTACAGAGCTTCCAGGGACAGAGTGGAACCAAATTCAGGCAAAAATCTCCCAAATTAAAAAACAAATCCCGTGGCACAGACAACATAAATCATCCATCGGACAATATGCACAGAGACGTACTGTCTGTCCGCAACAAATCTCTCCTAAACTTTGCAGATCTGACTTTGTGTAATTGGCTCTCCAGTGACTCTGACCACAGGACACTTAAAATGTGACATACTGGTAGGCCTAACTCTATCTGGCGCCTTGGTTAGCCCCCAAATCAATACCATCCTACTTCATACTGAGGGACAAGGCAGGGCAGATGACACCCGAGATGTGACATGCGGAAGGAGGAGGAGTAAATAACAGAACAGCCCGTTGATGCAGGAGCACTCATAACTGGGATACATACTGTTGGCCTATTTAGTTTTTGCAAAACAGTCATTTTTGTATCTAGGGAATTTATGCTGGAGAGTTACTGTATATACATGTATATGTAATTGTCAAGTGATTTTTCTTGACGAATTTGTATCAAGTATGTTTTTGTAAAAGCAAGTTTACACAGTATGCAGTTCTCATGAATGGAATGTCTCACTTGACTAGAAATAACTTTTAAACATGAACAAAGAAGTGGAATGGAGCGGGGTTTGAACCTGCAACCTCGGGATTGACGTTCCAGTGCTCGATCAACTGAGCTACCTGGTCCTATTTTGGCGGTTCCCCATTATGTCTTTGTTCAAGGGGGTTAGTCAGATGCCCTAAGCTCGTATGCCATGTAGCCATGGATCAGGCCCAAAGTCACGATGCTAGCAACATTAGCAATGCTGCATTGTAATGCACCTTACTAAGATTACTAGCAATTTTGTTGCTTGAAACGACAAAAAAAAGAGCAAACGACAAAAAGAGCAAATGATCCTATGTACCTTTAATCGGAGCACATGCAATTATCCATCTCGGGTTTTAACTACAGCGCGGAGTCATCTCAGACGTTTTATCTTCACGGTAGGATTAGCCGATTCCATCCGCTTAACACCATCACATGCACTCGTGTGAGGTCGCGGTAAGTCAGGATTTGAACCGGTGGCAATCTCCGACAGTGAGAAAATTGTCTGGGAGTGGAAGGGAAAAAAAGATCTTGGGGCTTGCTTTGATGTGACTCCTGGATGGAATGAGATTAGATAGTTTGGATGGGATGACCCCCCCCCCCCCCCAAGGTGTGATGGAAGGAATGATAACGGATCTGTGGATAGGCAGTCTGACATTTAGGCAGTCTGTGGGACAGACAACCGTCAACAGATGAAAAGACAAAAAATCTTGTGATAGAATTAAAGGGAATATACAACATTTGCAAGCATCGAAACACAAACCTACCAAATTTTTTAAGAAATACCTTACTAGGATGTTGGTAAATGACAGTCTAAAGCATCCTGTAAAATTATGGCACCTGGTGTGAAGTCATTTTCAAGAAAAGTGGTATTTTTGTATAAATTCCCAAATTTCGACATGTTGTCTGATTTGGTAAACACTCACGGAGCAATGAACTCATTGGCAAAAATGTTGCAACCTGATGCCACTTTTTTCTTCATTATGTCATCTCAATGAAGGTCTGGTCATTCATTGCAAAAATGATGATAAGACATGAAACTAGGACTGAGAAATATTTCCAATTTTGTTAGGAAATACTTAAAAAAATTCCTGACTCTCTATAGACTTTGTACACAATTGCGGAAGTGGCGTCAAATTGCAACATTTTTTCCGAACTATTTGTGCATGTACCGAATGCGTAATAATTTGTTTGTAATTTTTTTTTTTTAGTTCAATAATCATTCCTCATTCAATTGAAACTTGTTACATGTAGGTACATTGGGCCGAGTCAGTTCCTGTTATGGTTATTTGATTTTTTTTTAGTGGTTAGATTTTGGACCGATTAAGTTTTATATTTGATTCAAATTTCCACAAGCCCATGGTGAATTGTGGTGCTGTAAACAAACAAAATATGCAAAATTGCATTGCTAGAATGTTATCGGCCCCTCAGCACCAAAGTTACAAGTTCAAAAGAGAATTCGTTTGAATTCATTCATATCTTATAGGATTGAAAGCTTTGGTTCACAGCTCTGAACACTGCAACCAAACTTGTTAGCCAGTAGAACGC